CCCACGTGACACATTTTCTCTTAGCATGTCATCAACAATAGCTCTGTAACCAAACAAAATTGAAGGCTATAAAAATTATGGTTTCTCTGAGCAATAATGATTTTACAGAGAGTAATTTAAATTTAATTTCATACCTTTTTGAGGGGTGGTGGATAAAATAGAGAATATAAAATCAGAACCCCTCCTGCCACACCCACCTGTCACATCCTCTCTTTCACAATTCATTCATAGTTCTCTTTTACATTTCATTATAAATTACCTACAACCAATAGAAAGTCAAGGTTTCCATCTATAAAATGACATATTGTATAATGGTGTGTTCTGAACAGTACAAGATTCGTTCCCATGAGAAAGTTAATAATTAGCTTGGATGAATTTGTAATGGTTTTTGTTGCACAGTTAGAAAGCCAGTAAATTTTTAAGAGTTAGGGGAATTTGTGTACTTTTTGCATGTTATTAGTCTATATTCTTTGTTGCATTATTTAATTAAATAAAAATTATTAAGTGTATAACTATCATTAATTAAGTTAAGGGTTAAGTTTCATCGACAATCGACAGCAAGAAAAAATAAGACTGGGTAAGTACGTTATTTCTTGTTTTAGATGTTTATTCTTTATTTATTATTATAAAAGTAACTAAAATATAAAAATAGGGATCTTCTTATATTAGTTAAGATTAGATTAGGTATAATAAGTAATAATAATAATATAGTAAAAATTATTTCATGAGGCACACATGCGAGCAGCTTGTGGGTCATGTAATTTGATAGCGTAATGTGAACTGCACATTATCAGAGTGATTTACAACTTATAATGGCATGGATATAGTTTGAAATGGTTCAAAAGAGAGTTAACCTAGTTGTCTACATGTGCTTTAAAAATCTCAGCAACAATAAAAAATATTTCTACTTTCTCTATGAGAATGTTTACAATGAAAATGAAAGTACTCTAAAAATCGGGTACTTTAATCTGATCCATGACAGCAGTTAAATCATCATCACACTTACGAAGCTGACACAGAATTCCTAAATGTACCATTTTTATTCTGAATTCACATACCTGCTTTCAAAGCAAGCAAACTTGCCAACTGTTCCTCTGAACTCTAAAAGAAAAATACAGTATTATGTTAAATATACCATTAGAGTAACATATTGTTTAACAAATACAATGTCTTTACTATTATATTTCTAAACTTTTTAATCTTTAGTGTCAAAGTTTTAATAATGACAAAACCTATAAATAGAAACTGGTAAGATTTGATATCCTCATACTCCTAACTAATATTTTTATCTACTATAACTTCATTAACAGTTTATAACATTTCAAAAAATATAAATGAATGTAATTTGCTGACCAAATGAACACATGTAAAAGTAGAAGAAATTAACAGAGTTAATGCTTTTTCCAGGTCTGACAACTTAAGTTATTCCAAGTGGGACAGATTTTGTTTTTCCACTTATGACTTTACAGAACATAAGGAAAAATAAAAGCACAAAATATTTTAAAGACTGATTATCAAATTGATGTTTATCTTTAGATTTAGCCTTTTGCAAAATTCCAGACGGGGTGAACTTTTTTACATTAAAGGAAGGTAGTTAATGTCTAAATTTTGATAATAAAAAGATTTATATAAATAAATTATGCATACTAAATTAATCATCAAGCTTAAAAAATAAAAAGATAAAATACAAATTGTGACAATATTTTAATTGTTTATTTATTAGCACTATAGAACATTGTCATACTGTTGGCAAATTAAAATATTACAAAAATAATTTTTCATAAGGATAAATCTCAATTTTCTTTTAATTTCAACAACAATTTACAATTCATAAATTTTCCTTACAGTCAATGTTGAACAAATGTGCTCATTTTTTGAAACAGGTGTCACTGCTTCTTTTTTCAGTTTTTCAGGTATTTTTATCCTGTTAAATATAATTATTTCTTACTATGCTTGTTATTTGAAACACTATAAAATTTATATATACATTTCAAGTTTGATGAATTGAAAAAATATTTAAACAATAAAATTACTTAATTTATGGTAATTACCACCTAATAAAACCATTAATCACATTGTGAAGTTTGTAACATGTTGTAAAGAACCCTAATTATTTAATTATCTGCAAATTAACTCACTCTTTGTAATATTTACTTGTTATTTCAAATTGATTGTGTATGGAACTAACCAAAATTGGTATGAATATGAGTACTATCAACTTGGGTTTGTACAGTGATGAATAAAAATATCTCTAAGTGATTAACCTTTGCAATACTAGTGGAATCCAGGTGTACTAATTTCACACTCCCATCTTTTTTAAGGTCACAACTAAAAGTACTGAATCACATTGTATGAAACTTGTTTCAAACAACTTTCTAAATAATATCAGTTATCTATATACAAAAAAAATCATACAATTTGCATTAACTTTGAGGTTTTGAAATTTCTGGACACTTGTTGTGAAATACTTTTTTTAATAAGAAACAACAACTTTATTTTGTCTTTGAAATCTTGTAACTCCTTACAATAATTTTTTCATTAAAACTAAGTTTTTTGTCAGTTTTTATTCTGATCTAACACCATGTGTTAATGTTCTTGTTTATGCATAATAACCACTGATACATGAACATTTTTAAAAAGCTGTTAAATAATATGAAAAAATAATGAAAACAATAATTTCTGATGTAATTAGTCAGAAAATTCCATTATATATATATACATTTTTAACTTGTTTTATAATCATTAACATATATCTCTCTGCTATTTTTCTTTACCCACTCTAGCACTAGCCCATTAAGAAATACATAACTTTCATGTCATTAATTGTTACCATAATCACTAAACATTCTTCCCTGAATTCTGTTTTAACATCCTTGACATCCTTTGATTAATATATAAAAGGGGATTTGGGTAGCAGGTATGTACCTGTGGACCATCACATTCTCAGATGTGGTCACAGATTATAGCCTAACAAGCAAGTGGGTCAGAGCACAATGCAGTGTTTTTTTATCTGTAGCAGAAAATTCTCAAAGGAGTAAAACAGTAATGGCTAATGACTGGAGACACTCCTAGGCTTAGTACCAAACATCAATATTGAAAGAGGCAAACTAAGTCATGAAACTGGTCTTATCAACAGCACCTAGGGAGAATCAAAAAGACACAAGGATCGACTTTACAATTTGAAACGTGAGCACTAAATAGGTTAACTCTCTCAACACAGGCTCAGTAAATTTGACTGACCACGTGATCTCTTTGTACTTATTTAAAGTCTTTATAGATTTAATACTGCTAATTTTCAATACAGCGTGTATATCTTCACAACATTTGGCAGTCTTTCAGTTAATATTATAAGTCTTTCACATACAAAAAATCATTTTTAGTGAAGTATTTTTAATAAAATAAAAAATAAAGATTTGTCCATTGGTATATTGAGTACTTGTTTTGAATAGTCCATGTGCAAAGCAATTTTCATCTTAAAACTAAAAATACTTTTCCTTATCTCAAAAATCTCTAATTTTACCACTTACCTCACAAAATTTTCCTGGCTTTTTAACTATGTGACAAGAGCTGTTACAAATTCATCTAAGCTAGTCGTTAACTTCCCCATGGGAATGAATCTTGTACTGTGAGTGAAATTGATGATATTCTGTTCAGAATACAACGTTATACAACACGTCATTGGATAGATGAAAACCTTGACTTTCTATTGGTTATAGGTAATATATAATGAAACGCAAGAGACAACTATCAACAAATTGTGAAAGACATGATGTGACAGGTGGGTGTGGCAGGAGGGGTCTGATTTTCTATTTGATAGCTCTGTAACCAAACAAATTGAAGGCTATAAAAATTATGGTTTCTTTGAGCAATAACGATTTTATAGAGAGTATTTTACGTTTAATTTCTTACATTTTTGAGGGGTATTGGATAAAACAGAGATGATGACATCCCAAGACAAAATGTGTCACGTGGGTCACAGTAGTGGAAATTCAGAATTTTTTTAAATATTGCCTTGTAGAATTAAGAACTTAAAACTTGTATACTATTAAAATATGGATTATTAGCTAAGACTTTATGCTATTTTAATTGGTATAACATAAACAAAAAGTAGTATAATAAAATTTTGAATGTAAGACACTAAAACCTTGTGTCATGTACAGTAAAGGGTACCCGGGGTGAGAGGGTTAAACCCAAAACTTCACCATAAACTTTTATCAGTGAATCACAACTATAAGTAGCGTATGATCAAGGCAAGATGTACTGAATCTCTTTCTTTATTCTCAACTAATATTCTTCCCACTTGATTACACATTTGTCCTTACTTCTACTCTAATAATGCACCTGTTAATCACTTCTACATTGGTCATAACCAAGTCAACCAATACACTGGAAGTGGGGAGGACAGGTGTGAAATGTGAAAAGAGGTAAGAATCTATCAGAAATACATTTTCAGTTTAGGAAAATGTTAATTTCCGATACAATATCCTAAATCTAGCAGGTGGGAGAACTCAGTTTGTCTATTTCTATCCATGAGTTTCTAGAGGAATTATTTACTGTGTATGCAGTTATTGTACACTTTCTGTTATCCATGTACTACAAAAACTTAATGCTTATTTATTGCAGCAGCATAATCTATAATATCCTTTACTTAAGCACCAGATAAACAAGGTCTAGTTCTATTCTTTCTATGCTCCCCACTACAAAAACTTTAACAGCGTACACCTGATCCACAAGGAACCGACATCTGGAAGATGGTAGGAAGGAGGAATGTCTCAGCTAGAGAGTCAAACTGCAGGTCCACAGTAGGAAGGGTGTCAAACCACGACACCAGCAGAATGCCACCACCCTATTCTCAAATGAGTGGCAATGTGCACACTTAGGAGGACAGACCTCCATGGTCCACCACCACAGCAGCTAGGAACTGGTAAATGGTAAGGACTCCCATACTCCATAAGAAGAAAGAGAGGAAAAATGCACTGGAGACCACAATATCCTATTTTGAAAAGCAGAGCTACCAACTTGATGTAGTCGACCAACCAACAACTGCGGCATCTGGAATTATACAACAGGTTCATGGTAGGAAGAACCTCAATGCCATGGTGCATCAGAGATGGGCAGTAATCCCTGTTTGCTTTACCCATGTAAGTCCAATTTGTGTACGGTCTGGAACAAACATATTTATGAAGCAAATGACCACAAGATATAATTACAATCGGTTCATGCATAGATGACAATCGGACAGAGTTGATCAATCAACACCTGGTGAATAATGGAATTGTACATCAGGTCTGCAGTAGGAAGAGCTTCAAAGTTATATTCATCTAGCATGGTCACAGGACAGACACTGCGTATTTGAGACAAAGTACACTTGGTCAGACACCACTTGCCACAGAGCGGGATCCATAACCTATGAACAAGAGGCCCCTGTGAAGGAAAAGAAAAAGAAACTGATATTTACTAGTCACAAAGAAACAGAGGTGTGCAGAACGGTAACTGGAAGTAGGCAGAAACCAACAGAGCATGAAACAGCCATGTGATGTAGATAGCAAGATGTAAAGGTAAGAGGGTTAGTTCACATACCTGCGCTGATGATGTCCTCCAAAGGAAGATGGAAATAGGCAGCTAGGGACATGCTCAAGTGATGGTTCTGATGTGAAAAAATGCAAAAAATGCGATAATCACCCAGAGAAAGGGAAGAATACATCAGGAGAATAACCTGGTGAATTCAACCCGTAAGAGTAATGGGAGAAAGGTCGTGTAAAACTGTAGAATTCCATTGAATAAACAAACAGACACAGCAACCACAAAAGGGAGTATTGCATGTCATAAACCATCTGAGGGTCCTGACCATGCAAAGGAGGCAATGAAGATCTGAACAGTCATAAAGTGAGAAAATGGAATTACCCTTCCAAGCAGCCAAATACTTGGATAGAAAAGAATGTTTGGGAAAAAGGAGAACATAGGAAGCATGGAACAATACATGGCAAATGTCGATTGCAAACACATCAAAACAACGGTAACTACACGCCATCATCAAAAGAAACAAGGACATCAATGAAAGATGATATAATGTGCAAGATGACAAAGGTTCAAATGGAAGATAAATAAGAGTGTGAAGAACAACACTGGGGTTCCAATCCAGGAGAGGGCAGGGAGGATGAGCAATGGAGAAGGAACAAAATAACATAGATAGGACAAGAGAGTGGAAAACAGAAGCAAACAGAGGGTTACAGGGAATGCCCTTGATATAAAGCCAAGTGAAAAAGAACGACAAATGAGGAATGGTAGGTCATGAAGGATGGTATCCCTTGCATATAGACCAAGAGTGGTAAGTAGCCCACTTATGTTAATGAACTGCCAATGATGATGATCAAACTGGATGCAAAATCAAGGAGGAAACATGCCTAGAAAGACTGAACCATCTGGCGAGGGACCAGACAAAAGCCACACACGAAGATGGAGTGTGGGTAGGAAAGAATGACACACACCAGAGTGAGGCTGGTAAAGGAGCATGGGAGATAAAGGAAAAGGAATGGGTGGTGATACCAACAGCCATCGTAGAAGTGGAAACCACATCTGAGTCAGTCAATACAGTGCCAGCAACAGAACCCCACAAGTAGTCATCTGAACTATTGAAAGGACACGAGGAAAAAGCTAAGTAGGAGGAGGATAAGCATATAGGTAATAACAGGTCTAATTCTGGCTGAGAGCATCCACCATATCTGCTTGGAGATGAGGAACAGGCAACCAAAATGGTGAAGTTGTGTTGAGAGGAGACAAAATTGTGTCCAAGTCAGTGATACCCCAACGAGCACACAACTCACAAAAAACGATAGGATCCAAAGAACACTTCATCAGTAGAATCTCATTGGATTGGGATAATTGATCCATGGCCACATTCAGGGTGCCTGGAATATGATGTGC